TAACTTTAATAATAAAAATGTTTCCGTTTGAAATTGTGTATTTATTGAACTGAGCTCAAAATAGTAAATATTTTGAAATCACTCAAGCATGTTTTTGCTCTTTTGTTTCTTATGCCAATCTCATTAGAATATTAGCAAAACTCATTAGCATTTAAAAAGTGGGTTATGCGAACACGTTCTATTGATTTACAAATATTTGAATTTTTGACCGCGGTTACAATAGATCTTGTCTGTTTGTTATCTGAACTAGCCAATCATGTGGCTTGAAATTACATGGTGTCCCAGAGCCTACTTCAGGCCACTCGCAAGACTAGGGTCTGGGTACAAGAATGCCTGTCGTAGGCTCTGAGACAACTTATAAACCCAAGCTAGGCACTTGTGAACTTTTTAGAAATATTTATAAAATAATAAAAATAAACATCTCTAGCTGTGTATTGTTTTTTTTTTTACATTTCTGTGAGGTTTCAGGCCATTTCCTTAAATTTTGAGCGATTTTATGGCTGTTGTTCTCCATCGTCCTAAGAAGAGGGGAAGGTAGCATAGTAACTGAGCTTAGTGCCCCAGAGGCCTTCAAGCTCTCTCAATATTACGAATTTTTCCAAAATTCCTTCAAATCTTTGCGCCATAATCACTCCTTCTACAAACCAAAGTTCTTTCCAAAACTCAAACGATATCCCTACGAAAACCCTTTGTATCTCAACGATATTGGCGAAATCCGAGACGATGTTTTGAGACTGTTCGTTTTAAAAACGTACAAAAATCTGAGATATAAGGGACTGTGCAATAATTACCAGGAGGCGGGGGGAGGGGGSGGGAGGGGCGTAAAACCAGAGGGGGGGCATTACATAAAATTGATGCCAAGATAGGAGGGGCTCAAAGTAAAATTACCTAATTAAAAGAGGGAGGGGGGCTTAAGTTTTTTTCAAACTTTTCATTATTTTCCTTATCTTCAATTCAACAAAATAACAACCATAATTGTAGAAAATGACAAAAACAACTTTAACTGACAATTGATATGATATTGCTATTACTTTTTATCAACAACACTGATCATTTTTAATCTGCTAGCTAAAAGCTTGCTAGGTTATCTTTTTTATGAAAAATCCATTATGAAACGAAAGATTCTGGATCCCGGATTCCATGAAACATTTCGCAAGTATTCTGRATTCCACCATATTGGATTAAGAATGCAAAGCATGCTAGCATTTTTGAGGAAACAAATCGCAGAACATTTTGACATGCGTCATACTGATGTATCTTGGCACAGGAAGTCAGAAACCAATTCTTAGGCCGTTTCCTGGACGTCACGTGTCTACCTTTATTGCTTTACGATTTTCAAGCTCTTAAACCCATGCATAAAACATACACCAAACGGCGAATCATTGAACGGGGATTGACCAGCTGGCATTAAAGTTACCTAACGCTCTAAGTTTGTCTTGAATCTCWGGGTGACCGGTTCCAATATTGCCGGTCATAACCTGCCTCGACCAGTCTATTACTTGCAGGTTAACAATGTAAGATATCTCTATTATATGTATGTCGATATAACATGAAGTAAAAATAAATTTCAAATTAAAAACCGATCCAAATATCTAGCAATGRCTTTATCGTTTCGCACAACACATTAAGTGATTTTACAGGTGATTGTAACAGAAAACACGCCGATCAATAATGCCAGATGGCTTTGTTTGCYCGGGTTTCACTTTATGAAATGTTAAATCTCAGTCCAAATCTCGGCATGACGCAAAGATATTGTCACTACAGGGTCTCGGGGTTAACCGACTAGCGACAAATGGACAAAATAACTACTGACTAGCGCCGCAAAYTTGAACCAAATTTGCTGACTACCAACATTAACGACTGAATTTACTGACTGGCGCGCGACATTTTCCAATATTTAAAGATGTTAGCTCCGTGAATACAAGCTTTTTTTTATTTTTCAAGCAACTACATTCGAAATTTTCCGCGGAAAAAATAAATTTTGCTTCGGATTGGCTTCTTGAAGTTGTGATGAGCCACTCTATAACTTTAATGGCATCCAATTGACCAATCAAGACTTAAGGATTCAATTGTTGGCATTTTAGAAAGAATTCTGTTGGTATAAGCACCGTTTTAGATGCATCAACTTTTTTAAATAACCGACTACCGACAAATTCCTAGAATTTTAACTGACTAGCGACAAATGCTTGAAATTTTAACTGTCGACTACCGACATTGAGACCCCCCCCCCCCATTAAGACCCTGTCACTATACTATCCCGAAACTATACAGTAGGCAGGCTCGTAGCGTCCTTTACGCATATATGCACGTGCGTACTAGTAGCAAGGAAATATTGAAATTTCAGCGTTTTGTGGACCTTTTGGTAACTCTTTATGTATAGTTTAAAACATAAGAAAGAGTGTTTTATCAGGTATAAAGATTCGAGCCGAAGGCGAGAATTTTTATACCTGATAAAACACGATTTCGTCAGTGTTTTAAACGGCTTCAAAAACTTCAACACTAATTTGAAACTCAAATCCGTTAAAATTCTTGGAGAAATTGCCGTACAAATATGTTCTGAGATTAATAGGGCAAACTGATCATGCGCGAATCACTTTACAAAGCACTCTTGTTATCTCACATTGAATACACATAAAATGAAATAGAAGCGCTGTTGGCTGTTTACGGCAATCGGTTGAAATCCTGCATTGGTCAATGATCAGTTATCAAACCTGAGACCTTTGCTAGGTCCATGCATGTGGCCAAATAGGCTCATTCTATTGGCCTAATAACTCATTAATTATGTAGGAGTTTTTGGATGAACAGATTTAACCCGAATTTATCATACAATATCTATGAAACAACGAAGTTATATACGTAAATAATATTATTTTGATATTTTTTGCACAAAATCAGTCGTACGAAATTGGCTCTGAGAGGCTAAGATGATATCAGTGATGAAAAACAAAAAGTATCGGCAAAATTATACCGAGACGAGTGCCTTGGTTAGCCTTTTTTTCACTAGTGAAAATAACATGTTATTTTCACTAGTGAAAATAACACATTCGAGGTTTCTCTATATAGTGGAAGTAAGAAAATAGCTATTTTCCGACATAATTTGCTTTCATATTTAATTATATGATAAACAGAATATTCGCTACGCTCACTCGTGAGAGATCTTTTCAACACTCGAAGATAAAATCCGTATCTCCGCGCGTCCATGTAATATCTTCTATATATTACAGTGCAAAATTTGTCAACCATCTGTGCAATGATTTTATAATCAAAACAGCTCTAGTTGATGGTGTCTTTGATTTGCAAACAAACCATGCGAATTATAAATCCTACGTATAAAASACTGACACAATATTTTGACATTAGTTATCTTTATGAATAAAATACCTGCTAACCAAAATATGCTTAAAAACAGTTTCGCGATCTCCTTTACGCTGTGTTAGCCTCAAATTGTGTGCAAAAATATTCAGAAATTTGGTTAAACCTCTTGAAATCTCAAACTATTTCCATTGTCTTCTATACCCACGAATCTCTTGTATTTGCATGACGGACCGCAAGTGTTGAATAAAGAATTTATCATATAACTCTATATTAAATGCCTATATTACGTAATATTACGTAACTGTCATTTTCATTAGTGAAAGGGGTATCGCTATATATTGGAGGTAAATGGAAGTTACTTTCTTTGAAACGTAATTTGCTTTCATATATATAGATATATGACATGTAAATGAAATATTACATGGTCGCTCAGGGAAAGAGGAGACCGGGGGAAATTGGGCGGGGGGTTGGCTGAGGGGGCAAGTTGGAAACCTTAATAAATGTGCCAGATACTGAAGGACGAGGGTCCTATGGAATAATTTGATTGCATTCTTTCCGCAGTTAAGAAATTATCCAAAGCAGAAAAAGTTAGTGGGGGCGGTAACCCTATACTATATGCAAACTATTGGCAGTCAATTCAGTTAGTATATGCTAGTGACATAATTGCTGACAGTTTGCTGTTCTAATTGTGAGATCGTTTCAAAAGTTTGAAGACAAAAATACCAGTGTGTAAATACAATTTTAGCTTTTCATTAATATTTTTGATCTCGCTGTCGACGTTTGGTCATTAAACCAGTATACNTAAGTTATGGGAGTCATGTAACTTCATTCGGGCGAAAATTAAATCTGAATGCAAGCAACGCTAGTGCTGGTGCAAAGAATTACATTTGATATTAGCACCGTAAAGACAAATGATGAAAAAATTCGCTATTTAATTTTTCAGCTTCTATTTTTTTTACCTTAAAACTAAGAGACAATTTTTAAGTTCTACAAAAAAAGATTAACTTAGCTTTCCACAAAGTAGATGAAATACAACAGATGTTTTCGTCATGTGCTTGTAATAAAAAACATTGAGTTTGGAGCGTGGAAGCGTAATATCAACATATGAGCATTTGAAAGGTGTAGTTTATGATAAGAATCACAAAAATCGCACCATTCGTTCACAAGTTGTAACCTTAACTTACTTTAATACACACCTCTATAAAAAGGCCGCGACACTAGTCTGTATTAAAGGCGTGAATGCTCCTAGTAATGGGTTGCTGCCGGACAATGTATGCTAGTGAGGTAGATCGACGTGTAGTTAACTCACTTGTAGTTACGAAGAAAACGTTTTACCAAAGTTGCTTTGCGATGTGTTGTTGTCAGATATCAACGAGTGTTCTGATCCTCAAACCTGTCACGTTGATGCTGAGTGCAACAATACTCATGGTTCCTATTTCTGCAAATGTAAAACAGGATTCAATGGCGATGGACAGAAGAATTGCTCAGGTAAAATATAGAATCCATTCTTCAGTTTTTTTAACCGCTACTTCATTTTATCGCATTATGTATTCTACTTTGTGTTACTGGTGTATTTGCTGATTGGTCAACACACAAAGATCATATTGATTATCGATTGATTAGTTTGTGCCCTGATTGACAGCTGAATTATTGGTTGTAGAAATCTTAAAATCACTTGTTTTCAGATATCAATGAATGCGCTGCAAGTTCACACAACTGTGACTCAAATGCAGTTTGCAACAACACCAAAGGGTCCTTTATGTGTACATGCAAGCCAGGGTATGTAGGGAACGGGCAAGTTTGCATTGCTACCAGTAAGTATCTGATTATAGAATACTGTTACTATCAAATGTTATTTTCAATGGTTTATATTTATTGTATTTCAGGAGGACTCGAGAAATCCTCCATTCTTTCTAACTATGGTAATGACAGCTATCTGCAGGTCCTAACAACATATCTAGATCCTGTATTGCAAGATTGCGGCACCAGCAATTGGAACCTTTGCTGGCATGCCAGGTCAGATGGATGGGACGTTGAAAAACAATTTCACCCGAAATGCGACGGTCGTGGACCCTCGGTTACCATTGTTCGCGTCAACCAATACATTTTCGGGGGCTACACTGACGTATCTTGGCACAGTAAGTAATAAAGAGTAATGACTGAAAAACCTCAAACCACAAGCTAGTAAATATATGAATTATTACAGAAAATGTTTAATGTCACCTCAGTAAAGTCACTTTGTTTCAAATAAAACTGAGGCCTATTATAGGGAAGCATAAATAGCACGATCCACCAGTTATCGGTCGGGTGATTAACCAGTACGACGAACTTTATACACGGCCAGCCCCTGAACTAAAAGAAGGAGATTGTCAATCAATGATAAATGATGTATAATGATGTGTTTGTTTTAGAGAATCTTGGTTGTACTTTTTCAAATCAGTCGTTCCTGTACTCGCTGTACAGCATCAAGGGATATCAACCCGTGAAGCTGAACCTGACAGGACTAGATAACAACAAATATGCTATTCTTGGTTATGCTACGAATGGACCAACTTTTGGCTGTGATTATCTTCGGCCCCCTGGCCTTTATATCTCAAATAATGCATCGAGTAACTTCCAGTCCCACTCATATCTTGGCCAGCCTTACCAAAAACCCCCTAAATGTAAAATCTCATGTAGTGAATTCTTTGTTGGTAGCCGGTCGTTCAAACCAAGTGATGTCGAAGTCTTCTATGAGACTACGTCCTAAACAAATAGACTATGATTACATACCCGGCGTAGTAAATAGCAAGTCTACTTATATCAGCTTAGTATCAAATACCTGTAGAGTCGTTGTATGTAAGGTCCCTTTCCAGACCTAAAGAGTATCCCAAGAATCAATTTGGCTATTTCATCCATTAGTATAACGAAAACCTGAAGCAGCTCTGAAAAAACTCGATATAAGGCGTTTTTTTTGAAAAGACAGTCCTGGCCAGTTCTGAATGGAAAGTGTCCATAATTAAAAGTCTATTTGATAACTACATACATGGTTGTATATTTGTAATCATTATAAGGAAACTTGCGGAATGAATAAACATTGGAATAGAACATATTGCTGTATCGTAATAACAATAAAAATGAGCAACACATTTCTTTGCTTCACTGTTTGCATTTTTCACCTCGTGCGGCCAGATTCCTGGCACGAGTAATCAAAAAATATTCCTCATGTTTTGCAGTCGTCCCATGACACGGAATCCGCATTATAGCGTTCCTGGATTCCGGATTCCATGAAACATTTCGCAAGGATTCTGTATTCCACCATATTGGATTAAGAACGCAAAGCATGTTAGCATTTTTGAGGAAACAAATCGCAGAACATTTCGACATACATCATACTAATGTATCTTGGCACAGGAAGTCAGAGACGAATTCTTAGGTTTCCTGGACGTCACATGTCTACCTTTATCTCTTCCTGTTAACTTGCATTATTAATATACTGTCATTTGCATTGCTGAGCAACTAGGCCAGATGAAACTTTATCTGTCTACAATTAGCAATTGACTGCTGCCATTAATCAACTGAAAATCCCTAAAGTCCCAAAAGTCAAAATAAAAATATTGTTTAACGGTTTTCAAGCTCTTAAACCATGCATACAGGTGCGTGGCGTCTTTTACACATATTCGCCCCTGCGTACTAGTGTCAAGGAAATATTACAAATTTTGGTATTTTAATGCCTTTTATATGCTCTCGATGTCACTCAAAACGCTGGAAATCGCATTTCCAAGAGTTACTATTTCAAAATTATCTTTTCCATCTAACAATTCCCCTTAATAGTCCCACTTCGGCGGTCGTTATTAGACCCCCCAATCCAAAATAAGTCGCGGTGCCTGACATGTGCGTACTACCAAAAACGTCCATGCTACGCGCCTGGCATAAAACATACACCAAACGGGGACTGACCAGCTGGCATTAAAGTTGCCCAACCTAACGCTCTAAGTTTGTCTTGAATCTCAGAGTGACCGGTTCCAATTCTTGGTGTGCAACCACATGACCAGGAATCTCCTGAGAAATAAAGAACAAAGCTGTTGCCGCCATGTTGGAAGAATGAACAAGAGAAACTAATGAGGAATGCTTTGTGATTTTCATCCAACATGGCGGTGATGACGTCACTTGCACGCCAAGAATATTGCCGGTCATTAACCTGCCTCGACCAGTCTATTACTTGCAAGATAACAGTGTAAAATTGTAACATATCTGTATTATATGTATGTCAATAGAACAATTTCACATAACCGGATAAAAAATGCTAATGAGGATCAATTTATGCTAATTAACAATTAGACCCGAAGTCCGAATGGGCAACGGTTCAATAGCCCACGAGACCGAAGGTAGAGTGTGCTATTGTACGTAGCACATGAGGGCGAGAGGTCTAATTGTTAATTATGTTACAAGGGTCTTTGGGCTTGTAAGCTGTGGGATTTACTCAGGCAAGAGCCGGTACTTGGATCAAAGCTTTTTATTTAAGAAAGACACCAACCAAAGACTTCTTACTACTTCGCTTGTAGCTTCAATTCTGAGCTATACAATTACAATCTACCTTTTATAGTGCATATTTTTACAAGTGCATACTGACAGTTATTGGCAAACTATATTGAAGTATGATTGGCTAAGACGTACTTTTGATGGATAACTAATGATATGTTCAACTTGGGTAGAATGCGAAAATGCTATGCCCCAAGGTAGTTTTAAGTTGAATTCAGATATAAAATTAAGACTGAAGGTAGCTCTAATAAAGAAGAGGTTTATTTACTAAATAGACCATGGTTGAGCAGCCAATGAGAGCGCGCGATTTGTAATAGACCATAAGTTGTTGGATACTAATACACATTACACGATTTTACACGTGGAACAACGAGGATATTGATGAACGCTTTACTTTTTTGACGTATAGAAATGTTTTAAATAACAATTAAATTATAACAAACATTCAAAATCACACCCAAGCTTGATCCTCATTAGCATTTTTTATCCGGTTATGTGAAATCGTTCTAATATAACATGAAATAAAAATAAATTTCAAATTAAAAACGGTCCAAATACCTAGCAATGGCTTTATCGGCTTACAACACATTAAGTGATTTTACAAGTGATTGTAACAGGACTTAACAGGACTTAACAGGACAATAATGCCAGATGGCTTTGTTTGCCCGGGTTTCACTTTATGAAATGTTAAATCTCATAAATGATGATATGTCCAAATCTCGGCATGATACACGGATATTGTCATTTCGTTATTTCATGGGCCGTAACTAGGCGAAACTAGGGGGAAATTTTGAAATTTCAGTCTCTCGGAAATAAAAAATTTTCGGCGTTTTGCGGACCTTTTGGTAACTCTTTATCATGTTGAACAGATTTAACCCAAGTTTATCATGCAATATCATCTATGAAACAACGAAGCTATATACGTACACGGGGGGTGGCTGAGGGGGCAAGTTGGAAACCTTCATAAATGTGCCAGATACTGAAGGATGAGGTTCCTATGGAATAATTTGATTGCATTCTTTCCGCAGTTAAGAAACTACCCAAGCAGAAATGTAGCGGTAACCCTATATCCAAACTATTGGCAGTCAATTCATGCTAGTGACATAATTGCTGACAGTTTGTTGTTCTAATTGTGAGATCGTTTCAAACGTTTGAAGACAAAAATACCAGTGTGTAAATACAATTTTAGCTTTTCATTAAATATTTTTGATCTTGCTGTCGACGTTTGGTCATTAAAACCAGTATACAAACCCAGAAAGTAATCTATAGCCGCCCATAAAGTTCTGAGCTCCATTCAACCATCATTCCGCAATGTCGAGTCTTCAGATCTTTGCGGTCGCCGTTTTGCTTTCCTGTCTGAGTTATAGCGTTGTTGGTCAGACAATCAGTGGACAGTCTCAGATCTTTCAAAGTAATAGACTTTCTTCAAAAAAGCCAGATATTTTGATAAAAAGCAAGAAAGTAAGCAGCAAGCTGGAGTGTACAATGATTTGCTCCAGGACAGACTCCTGTCGCTCTGTCAACGTACAGAAAAGAACCGATGGACACAAGATCAAATGTGAGCTTTTATC